TTACTGTCCAAGAACAGCAAGGATTGGTTTAGTATTTAAACCATGAATTCCTTGTGTGTGTGTTAGCTTATCACCATGTTGGATTCAGAAATGTTGCACTTGACTTCCAAGACAAGGGAAGTAATTCAATTGTATTTTGACTTATCATCCTTTATAGGGGAAATAAATTGGCTTCCCCTAGCATAGGTGTTGAAAATTGTCTAAGAAATTTAATATTACTGCTTTTATTAGTAACAACTGTAGAATGATGGTTGCGATAAAAAGCAATTGAAATTTAGATGAAAGAAATACAAGTCAGACAAGAAAACTTAAATGCAGATGGTCGTCTGAACATTTGTGGGATAATGTATGACTGTTTCGTCCTGCAGCTCACGTCTGAACAATTGCATTAGGGCGGGGTGAGGGGGGTGTTACTTTCATCAGACTTGGATGATTTCAATGGCTCATTTGCCTTGGTCGATGAGATTAAAATGTCCAGGATTAGCTCTGCATTTTATTGATTTGAAACAGCAGCTGTTTTTTTTTTTTTGAGCATCTCATTTGTGCAGCTCTTTCCATTGAGTGCATTAACCTTCTGGTCTCAGGATACAAAATGGAAAAAAAAAATAAAAACTCTCCTTGCTTCTAATTGGCCACATGAAACTTGCGAAATAAAATTTGCAACTCTGCAACCTATAAAAGTGTGTATATATACAAATACACACACACATTGCCTGAAGGTTATGGTTAAGCATTTAACAGAATGTTGCCGCTTGGTGTTAACCTCAGTGTCCACTTATAGTGTGCGTGTTTTTATATGTAAGTTGTATAATAAATATATACAGGTGTCCATAAAGTCTGTGCAATTTAAAATACTAGTAGCTTTGTAACTGTACATGGTTGAAACAAACTGTAAAAAGGGTAAAAACGCTTGTCTAGTTTTTTTCATGTTTTTGAAAAATTTATTTATTATTTCTTCTACCTATTTTTTTTTTTTTTTCAATTTCTTGAAACTTCAAAATTGCTGTTTAACTCCATTGGATTTCTTTTTATAGGGACATGTGAAAAAGTAACATTCATTCAATTAAACCTCAATATTTCAAGGAATTGCAAGCTAGGATGATTTATGCAATTGACAGTATTACTGAAAATCAGCTGCCAAATGTTTTCCAAGAACTACAAAATAGTATTACCTTCTGCATGCGTAATAATGGTGGACATGTTGAAAATTAACAATCCCATTAATAAATTTAAACACTTCTTTCTTATCCTTTTTACAGATTGTTTCTATCATGTATAGTTAGAAAGCGACACGCATTTTAAATTGCCCACCGACTTTATGGACACCCTGTATGCACACCCATATACATACATACATACATACATATACATATACTTACCTGGCTTATGTCAGAGGGAATCCGCCAGACGAGGCTATGCCCTTTGAGCAGAGTCTAATCTCGGGAAGCTGAGTCTGTTTTTTTATGTGGTCTATAGGGAATTTTTGCTTGAGCATACAGGCTCGGATTCCCCACTTTAAACTCGGCCTTCTGCCAAATCTTGCTGCATGGGACAGCAGGTAAATAATCATATATTATATTATATATATATTTTATATTATATATATATTTTATTATATTATATATATATATATTATATATATATATATATATAAAATAAAGACAACAGGAGAAAATAAAGACAAAAACTGTCCAACATTTGAATATTTTTGTTATGCTGTTCCTCAATATAAGCTTCTATTCAGCAACCGTTATCGTTGCATGGCAAGCTTCTATCTAAACATAACAGGATAACATCTTTGATGGAATGTCCATATAACCCCTCTGATGATGGCTCATGTGAGGCAAATTTTAGATCAAGGAACAGTATAATAAAAATATATCTCTATCTATCTCTATCTATATCTCTCTCTCTCTATATATATATATATATATATATATATATATATATATATATATAATAATGGCTAGTCCACTATGCTGAGTGGATATTAGTTACAGATTCTGGGGAAAGAGCAATAATCTTGCATGATCAATTTTTTGAATAATGCCTGTATGCTCAAACGCTCAGTCACAATGACTTGTGATTTTGTGCTAGCATAACCATCAATGGCTTCGAAACAATATGGTTTCCAGGCACTTTCCAAAGGTGCTGCATGCTGAGGTTGTCTCTCCAGCTGGATATAATGAAGATCTCCCTGATAAATCAACCTTGATGAGATTCAAACAGTTTTCATAGCCATAAAGTGAATATTCAAACCACTTTATATATATATATATATATATATATATATATATCATAAACATTATTTTTAGTGAATACTCATATTTGAGTAGGTGCTGTTTATTTATTAAATAGTATATTTATTTTTATCTACTAGCCTTAATGTTTAAGAAATCTTCAGCAGGAATTAGACCTGTATACCTTAGGGATGAGAGAATTACTATCAAGCCCAGTACACCTTACCACTTGGTCATGAAGAACAGATGCTTAGGCAAAGCCAATTTCACGTTTTCAAGCGAAATTTCTCCTGTTATAGATCCCTCAAAGTTTTTCATATCTGCACATAGTTTTGTATCCAGACATAATCAAAGAGATTTTTTAGAATAGATTTTTATTAATTTGAGAAACTTTTATCACAAATATATGGTGGACTCTCTCATTGCAGACAAGAAATGAGGGCTCAGTAGAATAAAGAGGTCCTCAGCTTTCATGGACACACAGGTGTTTTGCAAACTTTTAGTCAGATGGAACATGTGGTTGAGCCATTTTGCTTGAGTGGTTAACAATCAGTTGCCACATGTTTCCGTGAGTGGATAGCAAGGCCTGCTTTACTGGGTGTGACAAAGCCACAGTGTCATGTAAGGCTCTCATTGAGGGGAGTAGCATTCTACCAAATTTCTTGAATATTTGCTGCTGTTGATCCTGATGTTCAAGTCGGCCTCACTCAAACCTTTGTATTGATGAGAAGCAGGAGAGGCACCAGCTCTTATATGTGACATTTTGTTTTCCCAGGAAGAAAATGGGATGCTGCATCATTCAGATTATCTTTGAGTTTGTCTTTGAAATTTGAGAGTGGCCTTCCAACTGACCTGCTTGTTAGAAACTGGCCAAAGAGAAGCCATTTTGGAAGTCTGCTATCACTCATATGCTAAAGATGTCCTGCTCACCTGAGGTTTCAATACTCATCATGTTGCATCTAGTCAGAACTTCACTGTTTCTCATGTGAACACCCAGTTTTTTTTTTGCAGATCATGAAGGCAACAGATGTGAAAGACATCAAGTTGATTGATGTGCCATTGGTACAGAGTCCAAGATTCTACACCATAGAGTAATGATGTCAGTACTAATGACTTGTACACACCAATTTTCACCTTTAACGAAACATCATGTTTTTATATATATATATATGTGTGTGTGTGTGTATATGTGCCACAATTTTGTATTTTTATGAAATATATAAAAAACAAAAGTGGAGATAATGGAGCAATGGTAAAAACTTTTTTAAATGTTAATGTGTTTTGCCAATGTGTTTTAGGTTTGGTGTCTTCAGATAGAAATGAAAGACAAAATTGTGTGTAAGGAAAATGTTTGGATTTTTGAGAGAGGCAGCAAATTAAATTACTTTATCAGATCCAAAGAGCAGAAAATATTTCTTTTTATTTTCATTTTTTTTTAAATTTTTGAATATTTAATTAGTGTTGAATAATGTTACAATAAACCTCACTTACCAAACCTTTGAGTTCCAGCTAGCGTCCAGCTGGCAGACAAAAATGTCGCAGTGACATTTTGTTTACCATCAAACACTGCTCAGCTGTCTCAATAACATTGACAAAAACCCCTGGGCATTGTCCAGACTACTTTTTACCACCCAGGTTTAAAGAAAAATCCCTCCCAAAGAGAAGCCACTTTGAAGTCTGCTATCACCATATGGGAAGGATGTTTAAGGTTTCAATGGCTCATCATTATGCATTCTAGTCAGAACGTCCAGCTGGCAGACAAAAATAAAGCCCAGGTTTTTGTAAATAAATCAACAACCCTGTGAAAGACACATTCATTGTGCAAATGACAACCTGGAGCTCATCTCATAGAGTAATTATCCGGTACTAATGACGCAGCGACAATACCGCACCTTTAAAAACATTGAAGTTTTTATAAATATATTCCAATATATATATATCCTCATATACCTGAATATGTGTGTGTGTGTGGGAAGTATAGGCACCGCCTGTAAAATGTTGACAATATATTAAAAACAAAAATCAAATAATTGTTATCCCCACCTACAAAAAAAAAATATTACATAGTTTTTTCTGCGATCAGGTTTGTTGTCTTCAGATAGAAATGCCAATGAATTGTTTATTGGCCCGGATGAATGTTTCATTTTGAGAAAATAAAGCAGGTTGTAACTTAATATTGCTTTATTTTTTCCAATGACAACTGGACGCAGCTGGGAACTTTTTTTATTTTCATTTTTTATTTTTTAAATATTAGAGCCATTAGTGTATGTTGGTTTTTAAATTAGCCCATTCCAAGTAGATCTGTATTTTTTTTCTTTATTAGCTTGTGTACTACATTGTGCTAGTATTTCTTTTGTGATGATCAGTGATATTACGTATCAGCCTGGCCTTAGGTATAACATCAAGAATTGTGAAATCAGTGCACTCTCAATGCACCTTATTATGACATGTGGGTAATACACATGTATATACATGCTAAATTTGGCAGGATATTTAAATGAGGTTGATTCATAAATTCACAAAACTGAATCTTTACCTGTGGATTGCAGAGTTAGGTGTGTGTGTGATGGGTCAGATAATAACTTCTTTTTTAAAATACTTTAAAATACGGTCATTTTTATTAGCTCAATATTTTACCGAATTTCAAGGAAATAAAGAAAAAAATATTCATTTAAATGAGATGATTAAATTAAGGGATAAAAAAAATTGAAACCATACATTACGTATATTTGAAAACATTTTTTCCTAGCCTTATTATGCATGTTCGATAAGATCAAAGAGATTGATTTGGCTTGCACTAACCTTCCCCTGCGTTCATTCTCTCTCTCATATGTTCCCAGTTCTTTTTGTGCCCTCTCTCTCGCTTTCCCCTGCTCTTTTTGTTCTCTCTCACTCGCTTTCCCCTGCTCTTTTTGTTCTCTCCCTCTCTCTCGCTTTCGCCTGCTCTTTTTGTTCTCTCCCTCTCTCTCGCTTTCCCCCTGCTCTTTTTGTTGTCTCTCTCGCTTTCGCCTGCTCTTTTTGTTGTCTCTCTCGCTTTCGCCTGCTCTTTTTGTTGTCTCTCTCGCTTTCGCCTGCTCTTTTTGTTGTCTCTCTCGCTTTCCCCTGCTCTTTTTGTTGTCTCTCTCGCTTTCCCCTGCTCTTTTTGTTCTCTCTCGCTTTCCCCTGCTCTTTTTGTTCTCTCTCTCGCTTTCCCCTGCTCTTTTGTTTCTCTCTTTTTTCCCCTGCTCTTTTGTTCTCTCTCTCTCTTTGCTTTCCCCTGTTCGTTTTGGTTTTTCTCTCTCTCTCTTTGCTTTCCCCCTGTTCGTTTTGCTCTCTCTCTCTCTCTTGCTTTCCCCCTGTTCGTTTTGCTCTCTCTCTCTCTTGCTTCCCCCTGTTCATTTGCTCTCTCTCTCTCTCTCTTGCTTTCCCCCTGTTTTGCTCTCTCTCTCTCTCCCTTGCTTTCCCCTGTTCATTTTGCTCTCTCTCTCTCTCTTTTCCCCCTGTTCGTTTTGCTCTCTCTCTCTCTCTCTCCCTTGCTTTTCCCCTGTTCGTTTTGCTCTCTCTCTCTCTCCCTTGCTTTTCCCCTGTTCGTTTTGCTCTCTCTCTCTTGCTCTCTCCCTTTCTTTTCCCTGTTCTTTTTCCCCTGTTCTTTTGCTCTCTCTCTCTTGCTTTCCTCCTGCTCTTTTTGCTATCTCTCTCTCTCTCTCTTGCTTTCCTCCTGCTCTTTTTGCTATCTCTCTCTCGCTCTTGCTTTCCCCTGCTCTTTTTGCTCTCCCTCTCGCTCTTGCTTTCCCCTGCTCTTTTTGCTCTCCCTCTCGCTCTTTCTCCTGCTCTTTTCCTCGCTCTTTTTCTCGCTCTTTTTCTCTCTTTTTTTCTCGCTCTTTTTCTCTCTTTTTGCTCTTTCTCTCCTTCCCCTGCTATTTTTGCTCATTCTCTCTTGCTTTCCCCCTGCTCTTTTCGCTCTCTCTCTCTCATTTTCCCCTGCTCTTTTTGCTCTTATTCTTGCTCTTTCTCTCCTTCCCCTGATATTTTTGCTGCCTCTCTCGTTTTCCAATTCTCATTTTGCATGCTTTCTCCTTCTCTTTTTACTCTCTTTCTTTTCCATTTTGTACTCTCTTTTCCTTTCTCTTTTTATTCTGTTTCCCTTTGTCTTTTTACTCTTTTTTTTCCTCCTTCTGTTTTTACTATCTTTTCCCTTCTCTTTTTTGTTTGTTTTTTTTCTCCCACACTTTCTCCTTCTCTTTTTCCTCTCTCTCTCACTTCCCCTTCTCCTTTTGCTCTCTCTTTCTCCTGCTTTTTTTTTTTCATCTCTCTCTTTCCCTTCTTGCCTGCTATTCAACTTCTCATCTAGATCCCTTCATTTGCAGCATATTGTAACAGTGTAGGAGAATGACTTTGATGCTGAAATGAAAGATTTGAAAGCATTCAAAAGAGAGAAAAATTTCCATTCCTAACAAAAAAAAAAAAAAAAATTGTTGAAAAAAACATATTCTATGAAAAGATTCTGCAGTTTCTATGACATATATTCATACAAATAAACGCAAAATAATATAGATAATCTGTTCATACATGCACCTGATTCCGCATACTGCATACATTTAATCTTCAGCCAGCTTATGGCCATATCATGTTGAAAGTTTGGTTCCCATACAATCACCAATAATAAGCAATGTTAAGCCTGGTCAGTACCAAGATGTATGTCTGCTTGGGAATACCAGGTGCTGTAAGTTTGGATGAGCAGATGGTATAATGGATAATGGCTTGGAATTGTTACTTGGAGAGCCAAGCTCCAATTCCAATTGGGTTCATTATATTCACTTACGTGTAAATACCCTTGGGAAAGGTATGAATCCACCTCTTCTCCATCCAGCTATTGGTTAACTAGTAAAACCAAAGATATGGATAGACAAATAGATCACTAAATCATTAACTAAAAAAAATCTTAATATCTAGAAAATTTACTTTTTTTTTTTTTTTTTTATTATTGTATATTTATTGGAATGGTTGTCAAAAACATTGGCTAATTACCAATCAATTCAAACTTTGTAAAATGGTAAATAGTAAAGATTTCCTTACAGTTGGTCCATATAATTTTATAACTTAGTAAATGTTTATAAATTAATGAATAAAAAATAGTTTTCACATTTATTTCTTTATAGAATAGTAAATGATAAATATTACATTACATTAGTTCTAATTAAATAAGTTTTAAAAATTTTCTAAATATAAAATTATTCTTGTGAATAATAAATAGTGTATAATATTTTTGTTGTAAATACTTAATGTAGAATTACAATACAATAAACAGCACTTACCGGCGTAAGGGTCCCAGCTAGCATCCAGCTGGCAGACAAAAATAAAGCAGGTTGTAACTTAATACAAACCCTGCAAACTAACTGATGAATCAAGCTGGTAATTATACAGAAATACCTCCACTCAGGTACCAGCAGCCAATCACAGCCCAAGCAATGGACTATCCCACTTTAGCACAATGAGATGCTCCATGGCACCATAAATAGCTTTTTCTCAAGGTTGAATTATGATTCACTTAGCTTGCTCCACAACTGAGTGTTTATCTCGGCCACGTGATTTTTCTACAACTTAAGACCAAAAAATATGTATAAATTCACTTTCATCATTTAGGTTTTATTGAAATTCTAATCATTGCTTTTTAAAACAAACATAGCTGAAGAGTGAAGGTAGTTAAAAAACGGTATCATGGGGAAAATAAACAACCTGTTAATATTTAACAGCACCCCCCCACGAGGGATGAATGTGGCACAAGGCCGAGTTTACCGTGGGTTCTCCGAGCAAGTAGGCTCAGCCAAAAATATTCCCTTAGAACCTGTATAAACGGGTTCAGGGCCTGTCTACCTCCCCAGACAAAACTTTGCCCTTCGGCAAAGCCTCATCCGGGTTCCTCTCTGCTCAAAGCAGAGAGTTTGACAGTTGAACAATCTATTTGACTGTTCCCCTGTTGACACTCCATCTTATTGCAGGCACGTTTATCTATGTTTGCCAATTATTCTGTTTTAATGGCATGTACTCTGACAGCTATTTAATGTCAAAAAGTTTATATATATATATATATATATATATATATATATATATATATATAATGGACTCTCCCATCAGTTTCGATGTATGAGGATCTGACAGTTAAGACCCACTAGTGATTTACAAAGGAAGCCACATATGGAGCAAGAGTGAGGATTGTGGGATGAGATCACTGTTAGATTGGCTGACCTTTTAGATCTTGCTCTCACTTCTTGAAGATGATTCACACAAGCAGATTGAAAACTGCTGAGTCCACTAAAACACATTGATCTCCATTCTACCCGCTCCAAGGCTAAGTGCTCAAGGGTGTTATGTGGTATATTGACAGGTGACAAGTTGCTTTTCAGCTTGTCTTTGGGTTGCAGTTTCCATCACTCTTCAGTTATTCCTCTAGAACAGTTAGTGCTATAATTTATGGTTTAGACCAACCTCCTTCAAGTAGGCTTGGATAATCTCTGCTTTTATCTTCTTGAAAAAAGCTCCTCTAGATTAATTGTGTCATAAAATCATTGATGTATAGAGGAAAGGGTCACTACAATCTGTAAGAATATGTTTTACTGTATATGCCTCCTGACATGCTGACCATTCAGGAGGATGTTTTTTTTTTTTTTTTTTTCTTAGGGAGGATAAGTGAGTGATATAGGTGTGTCCTATTCTGGTTTTTTGATAGGACAACTTCTTCCTTCTGAGAAAATCTGAGACCATGATGCCTTTCTCCTAGAATGATTTGGTTGATTTTGTTTAGTGGCATATCAGGCTCTATGGGTTTTTGTTATAAATTCTCAAGACCAAAAAATATGTATAAATTCACTTTCATCATATGTTTAGATTTTATTAAAATTCTAATCATTTCTTTTTAAAATAACAAACATTGCCAAAGTGTGAAGGTAGTTAAGAAAACAGGATCATGGGAAAAAGAAAGACAAACTTTTGACACTCCATCTTATTGTAGGCACGTTTATCCATGTTTGCTAATTAGTCTTAACATTATGTCAACTCTGTCAGTTGTTTAACCCAAAAAGTTTTTGTCTTTTTTGTTTTGTTTTTTTTTATATATAGTAAGCTAGGATAGTTTCTACTTTTATCTTGAAAAAGTCCTCTAGACTTGTTATGTCATAAAATTATTGATGTATAGGGGCAAAGGTCACTACAATCAGTTATGTGTATTCAGGTGGATTTTCCTTTCTTTCAAGAGTAAGGAGTGAGTGTTATGGAAGTGAAATGACTAAAAAATAAAGAATCCTTTCTTTATAGATTTTCATAAAAAGGGATTGAGTAATTTGTCGCTTAGAAATATTGCCTCTGATTTCCTTATCTTTAACTTAGATTTTTAATTAATTTTAATAAATTAATTCTAACGTAAAGTAAATTTTCCCTCATAAATTTATCTTACACATTTATTGTCAAAGTCTTGCTGGATTTCCTTTTTTCACTCTTGTTACCTTCACTCCAAGATAGTGTTGTAGTAAAGCAACGACTCAACTGATAGTCGCAACTGCAATAGATCTCATCTATTTCTCGACCACAACACTTGTAGCCAAATCGCAGTTCAAATGACAGCCTGTCATGAAAGTCCAACAAAGTAGAAAATGACAAAATAGTGTCACACATCCAACCTTCTCACGAGCAAAAAACAAAGTCCCCAGAAACAAAAACGCACCTGCTTTATACAGCCGAGGACCAACCATAATGATGAGACAACAGGATTTTGCGTTAACTATCCAAGACCACTTGGCATAAAACATGGGCACTGCCATTTTGGTTCTTTTCACCATTGAGCAGCCGGAGTTTGCACGACGCACAGATTTGTGGGTGTTTCCGAGGTAAGCCATTTTCACAATTTTCCCCACACTATACCCCCTGATCTCATGATCACAAACAAGGTAGGGAGGTGGCGATTGTCACCATCGAGTGCCCCTCTGAAGGGGGAAAACACAAGCTTCATCCTCATGCATACTCTCATCTGTGGTTTGGGTGTTGGTAAACACTGTGTCTGCCAGAAGACTGCTAATATCAGAATCACTGCCCAGCAGGCCTAACTCCAAGCAGATCGAACACTCACTACTCTCAGACTCGGAATCACTTTCATTGCTCAGTAATGGTTTTCCCCACAGATTGCTTCTCTCTGGGTAGCCTATATATATATATATAATGGACTCTCCCGTGGTTTCAACATATGAGGACCTGACAGCTTATTGATTCAGTTATGAAAGTTTGTGCGATAATCTTAAGTGGCATTTAAGACCTGCTAGTGATTTACAAATGAGGCCCACATATGGAGCAAGTGTGAGGATTGTGACATTGGATAAGAATGAATCAAGGTAAACCGCCAGAAAACCCACATAAGTGATTTGATTAAAGTGGTGAAGGCTTGTGCAGAACCATCCACACTTTTTGGAACTATTGATACACTTAGTGCAAATAAATGCCACAGACGAAAAATATAAATATATATATATATATATATATATATATATATATATATATATATATATATAATAGCCGGCCCCTTGTATTTGAAGATACCTGTCATCTAGGGCAGATAGTCAATCCCTATTGGCATATTTGTGTTCAACATCCACAGAACCCACCTGTGATTTATGCTGTAACTATGCTGAGCTGGCCTTAGTTAAAGTTTCTGGGAGAGAGCATGTTATCTCATGTGATCAACAATTTGAACAAAGCCAGCATGCTCAAATCCTCAGCCACGATGACTTGTGACTTTGTGCTAGCACAACCATTGACGGCCCCCTAGGGTTCCATCTACCCAATTTCACTCACAAGGCTTGGGTCAACCTGTGGTATGGTTTTCAAGAACTTTCCAAAGTGCAGCAAGCTGGGATCACCCCCTCCAGACTGATATTATCAAGAAGCCACCTTCCTGACAAATCGACCCTGGTGAGATTTGAATTTGGTTCTCATGGTCGGAATGCAAATGTTCTAACCACTCAGCCACGTGCTTCCACCTT